AGGACTGGTAGGTGGGGCACGGAGGGGAGGAGGCCAGATGTAGTGCCATGACCGGGGAAGGCGCTTTGGTGGGACGGCATCGGGACGGCTCCGGGCATCACTTGGGAGTGAGGGCAGGATGTTGGAGAGGAAGTTTTCCTGTTGGGTAGGACCCTTCATTCCAAGGAGAAAGTGGCCAGAGTAGTTGTATGAGAAAGGGATGGGAGCTAAGTAACAGCCACAGCAGGAAATAACGTTGGTGGCAGAGGGAGTGTATTTATTCTCTGTTTATACTTCGTCCAGCGTGAGGACCAGCTTAGGGACTGCCTCCCTCTTCCCTGATTGAGTTACCTGCCCTCTGGGGCCTGTTTCAGACCCATGGGTGCCCTACAAGATGCAGAACAGTGTGCATGGGCCCCTCTATGGCCTCCCCTTCCCCACCTGCCAGAGGGGATTCCACCTGGATGAGAATTTCCGAGTTTGCAGGGTCCCAACTGACGTGAGGGAAACCCGGGGAGGTGGGTCTCCGGAGAGCAGCGCACCTTGCTAACGGATCCGAATTGCACCACTGCCGGACCCATTGGAAGACGAAGGCTGTACTTTTGTTTAAGATGCTGTTAACGATATTTCTTTTCAATGATTTGGGCCAGCAGCCTTCTGTCATATACCAGGGCACCCAGCTCTACCCAGTGTTGCTCAAGACTCCTGCTTTTCTGTATTTTAGGCTTAAATTAACCAGGGAATTAACTCTTAATATTTAAATCTTTATGCTGTCTTTCTGAGCTGCAGCATTACCCAGCGTTGTGGCTGACTGACGCCATACATTGAAGACAATTAAGTGCCTAAGAATGATCTCAAACTAATGGTATGTTTATGCGTTGTGGGTTATTTTGAATTTCTAGACTGTTAGGAGTTGTTTAATAGGTTAATAGTTTTAATCTATTAATCTCATCTCTTCTACTTGACTATTTATTAAAATATATCAGTGATACATGACAGAAACGGAGGTGCAGAGAATTCTGAGCGTTATTAAGGCCTAGGCGATGGCGTGGAGATTTGAAACACGGGCGGAATAGTAAATACAGATGCAGGCCTCATTACCGAGGTTTGTGGAAATGGGGGTTTTGCTGAAGGTTCCCTCTTTTGGGCCTTTCAGGCCAATGGACAGACATTGTGACCTTTATCCCCATTATGATTTCCATCCTTGCGGCTAAAAACAGGAGCTTCTTTCTATCCAAAGGACATGTGTGAGCACAGTGGCCATTTAAAGACATGTCAAGGAGAGTTGGAGGTCAGCAGTGAGCACAGAGCGCACGCACATTTCTCTGTGGCAGAGACGGATCCCCTCATTTTAAGCATCGGGCGTGGGCTCCCTTCTGTCAGGATACTAAGGGCCCTGTAGGAGGCATGGGAATATGTTCCCCATCTCTGGGAGCTTCTGGTCACTTGGTCATTTATTTGTTCATTCATTCAACAAGCTGATTTTATTATTTTCTCTTCGCTTGAGGAAACACAAAAATCATCCAAATGATCAAAAGCCCAAGAGTTAAAGTTGAGCAGACCTGGTTGAACCCCACTTTTGCCACTAGAAAGCTGTGCAGTCATGAAAAAGTTAACTCTGCTTCTCTGATCCTAGGTTTTCTTTCGGTAAACAAAACTACTACCATATAAGGCACTGTGGAGAACAGTGAAATGAGTGAATTCAGAGTGACGCACCTCGCCTGGGATGCACTCAGCACACCTTAGCTGCCCTTGTCCTTGTTGGTGTCCCTTGCCTCATCATTGCCCTCATCACTGTCGGCACCTCTCACTCTGCCTGCTGGCGTATTTACATCGGGGCTCATTGTTTGTATCATTCAGCAGACGTTAGCTGACATCAGCCAGGCGCCAGGCAGGGAGATTGGCTGTGAGGTTGTTACAACCAGACAGGAGGAAGGAAGGCAGCTTGGATGAGAGTGGTGGCTGTGGGGGTGGTAAGGAGTGCTCAGGTTCTAGACATATTTTGAAGGTGGAGGTTATAGGATTTGCTGGTAGATTCAAGACAAGGATAATTCCAGGGTCTGGGCCTGAGGAGCTGGAGGGAAGGAAGCTGTTAGTAAAGGAAATGGAGAAGACTCCAGTTATTTGCTGGTGGCATCGTAGACTTGGGGATTAGTGGGAAGAGCACAAGGGTAGGAGTCAGAACTGTTTCTTGACTTGGGGGGAGGAGTGTGGCAGCGGCTCAGTTTGCACCTGTTACATGTGGGTGCCTGGTAGGCGTCCCAGGGGATGTGCCAAGCAGGCAGTTGGCGATCCAGGCCTGGAGTTCAGGGGGCAGGTCCAAGCTAGAGACAGAGTTTGCGATTCATCTTCATTCACATAGTTAATATTTAAAAGCATGAGTCTGGATGAGATGACTTAGGGAGTGAGTATGGATAAAAATAGAAGAGGTTCCAGAACTGATCCTTGGGGCGCGATAATGTGTAATGGTTGGGCTGGTGAGGAGGAATCAGTGGGAGGCAGAGGAGGGGCCAGAAGGCGAGAGGCCCACCAGCAAACACAGAGCAAAGTGGGAAAATGTTGGGACGGAGGAGAGAGGGGGACTCGTCAAAGGATGAGATCATTGAGGACTGAGAAGGGACCATTGGGTTGAGGAGCATGGAGGTCACAGGGGACCTTGGGAAGAACAGCTATGGTGGACTGGGGGAAGTGACCACTCACTGGACTTAGGGAGCATGGCCAAGGAGGGGTCCACTGACATCTACAACTAGGTAATCATTTGCACTGAGATCATTGGTAGGTGGGCAGATGGGTAGGGTTGGAGGGCTTGGTCAGTGGTCCGCCCCGGCAGCAGGGTAAACACGCCCCTGAAGTCACAGCTGAATGTACATTAATTCGTTTAACACCGCGTGCATCCGTGCATTCATGGAGAGTGTGCTTAAACACAGCTTGAGGCCAGTTAACCCTCATTCCTAATGAGTGGAGTCTTTAATGAAGTTGTATTCTAGAGGGAGTTAACTGAGTCATTATTTACACACTGTGATTAGAGATTTTTTTCCCCCCTATACTGTTTCAGGTGGCTAAAGTACCAGAATAAATAAGCAGTAGCCTTTAGAGGAGGTGGAGGGGTCCTCAGGCTGAGTCTTGGGGTGCAGATGGATACACTGCTCCCCATCCTGTGCAAGGAGATAGGCGCACCCTGCTGGATAGAGATCCAGCCTCAACAGGGACCTTGGACATCAGAGTCCAGCCCACTCATGTAGCTGAGAAAACCGAGTCAAGCAGGGGCAGGACTGAAGTGCTGCGTGCTGAGGACTTCTCCCCACTACTGCCATTTGGTAGAACTTGACAGAACGTCAAGCATTAGTATTTTTGGTGGAATGACTTAGAAATTGTGCTCAGAAACAGTTTTCTGATTCCTGGGCACCTGGCATCACCTGGGATTCTTTCTCCAGCATGGCCAGAAATGGCATTTGTCCTTGGGCCTCAAATCCACTGATTTGTTATTTGGTTGCATTGTCTTGGGCAGCAGGGTTTAGTGAGACTGACTCCAGGATGAGAGTTGGAAGAATTGTTTTCAGAACAAGCTCATCACTTCAGCATGCCATTTAGTCTCTGTGTTGATTGAATCTCTGCTGTGCGCCAGGCGTGGTGCACAAGTCAGATGTGGATGTGAAAGGGGCTGTGCTTCGGTTTCCCCCTCGGAGCCACAGGGCTCGTGTGAGCGCCAGATGAGAGGGGAAGGGTCTCAGCACTTGGAGAACCATCTGGTAAGACCCAGAGGAAGAGATTTGTTTCTGAAATGTCCCCAGGCAGACTCTGTAGGCACATTGGACTGACCAGATGCAGTCACAGGGAAGAGTAAGAATGAAGCAGAAGAAAACTGAGGGTAGTGGAGGGCAGTGGTTTGCAAACATCATCACTTTGGAGGTATTCGAATGTAGTCTTATGTATTAGTTTGCTGTAGCTGCTGTAACAAATTACCACAAACTGGGTGGCGTAAAACATCAGAAGTTTGTTCTCTTACAGTTCTGGAGGCCAGAAGTCCAAGATCAAGGTGTTGGCAGGGTCACGCTTCTCGAGGCTCTGGGGAGAATCTTCTCTTCGCCTTTTCCAGCTTCTGGTGGCTGCAGCACTCCTTGACCTAGAGCCACATCGCTCTAGCCTCTCCCTGTGGTCGTGTTGCTGCTGCCTCTTTCTCTGCGTCATCTCTCTTCTGTCGTATCTCTAGTCTCCCGTGTGTCCCTTTAGGGACTTGTGGTTGCCTTTGGACCCACCCAGATAATCCAGGATTATCCCATCTCAACATCTTCAGATAAATTACATCTGCAAAGAGCCATTTTTTCCAACTAAGGTCTCATTCACAGGTTCTAGGCATCAGGACGTGGGCATATATTTGGGGGGGGCATCATTTACCCCACAACAGGGAAAAAGAAGCCCAAATATGTATACATTAGGCCAAGCTGTGCATATAAAGAGAGGGTAGGGGCCTTGAAGCCCTACTCAATACCAATCTCCTCATTCAGACCTTATGGCTGCCTTGGGGCCACTGCTGTGGAACCCCTACGCCTTTAAGGACACACTTTGAGAACCATTGCCTACTGAAAGGCAAGGGCTCGTAGGGAATTCCTTGGGCAAGGACCCACTTGGTCTGGCTTCTCTCCCAGCATTCTGGCATGAGTAGTAGCCAGCGACCACAGATACTATGTACTTGCTGAGAAATATCCTCTTAGTGCCCAACTTTAGATTTTATGTTGAAGTGTGACTCAGGCTAAATATAAAATTCATAGCATATCTTGAGCAACTATTTTGTAGTTATCTATATATAAATCTATTTTACAGAGACACAAATAGAATAGATTGTGGAGTGTCAGCATGTAGATAGATTCCGAGTGCTTTTCACTAATATACCTAATGATTCGTGCTGAGAATATCCAAGGGCTTCACTGTACATTTAAATGGATATAATTAAAATAATGAGCTCTATTTTAAAAAATGATATATGAAAAAAAATTTTTTTTTACAGAAGTTAGGAGCTGTGCCACTAACTCAAAGTGATGTAAGTACTCCTGCGATTCCATTGTTATTAGGATGCCTAATTAAATGCAAAGCAGCCGAGAAAAGCAACATTTGAGCTTATAAATCTAAAGCGTGAAGCCGGGGAAGAGAAGTCGCCTGGATTCTCCACACAGCAAGAGCTAAGGGGTGTCACAGTTAAGGGAGTGTATGTCATGTGTCCTAGTGCCTGTGGGTGAGAGGATGGCTCACATGGCTCTTAGCGTAAAGTGCAAGAGTTGCCTGTGCAAGGCAGATGACCCTTCAGAGAGGGGCTCTAACTGCATCTCAAGTGAGCAGGGCAGGCTTCCCAGAGGTAGGGATGTCATCCTCATGATGACAGCTGCCATCCATGGAAATTACTCTCTGCCAGCTCCCTGCCTCATCTCCTACCCCTGGCCTTGCAAGGATTATGGTCCCCCTTTAACAGACAAGGAAACTGAGGCTCAGAGAAGGGAGTCTTTTGCCCAAGGTCACAGGATATGCGGATACCCAGCCTCCCAACAGCCGCTCTGTCTCAGCAGGACATCTTGATGAAAGCGAGGTCTTTGAGAGCAGGAAGGGCTGCTAAGTCCATTCAGATGGCAGGATCAGGTGCTCACAGGACTAAGGCTGAGCTTCAGAACGTGGGCAGTGAAGGAAGGGCTGAGGTAAGGGGGCCTACAATGTTCCCTTCCTTTCCCGTGACCTCTGGTGTGGGGAACGCTGGCGGGTTGGACACCCGCTCAGATGGGCCCCTTTGCTGGTCCTGAGAAGCACTGTGCTTGGGGCGGCCAAGGTCAGGACCACTGAGGGCCAAGCCAGGGCGAGTCCTCAGCTGCCTACCCAGCACCCCCACCCACCCCCAGACCTGTGGGCTGTGTTCTTGCTGGACTGGCGTTGAGGGTCAGACAGGACCCTGGCTTCCGTCTTTGTGCCTAGTGAACCTCAGAGTGGGCAAGACTGGCTGACCATGAGCATCCACGTGACCTCAGCCTCGGGCTGGGAATTTCAGCCACTTCTATCACCAGTTTCCACCAGCATGATCATCTCTATGAGTCGATTTAGACAAGGCCCGGGGTTTCCATTTTTGTGGTAGATACCCATGGAACATCTCCCCTAGGGCCACTGTCCTAGGTCTCTGCAGATATTGCCTTGTTGTCTCTGCATCACAGGGCTGAGGGGTAGGTGCTGTGTTTACCCATTGTATGGGTGAGAAGACTGAGGCTCGGGGTGGGGTTGGGTGTGTGTGAAGTCATTTAGGCAGAAACCCACAACTTGAGAGGGGCAGTGCTGAGATTTGGCCCTGGGATGATCCGACTTCAAATCCTGGTGCTCTTTCTATCTTAGATCATCACATCCCATTGCTGCCAGGCCATCAGCCAGCCTCTGCTCCAGCGCCCAGGGCCAGGGAACTCCCTCTCCCCAGAATGTCCCCTCCTGTGGCTGACTGGCAGGAATATTCTCCCTCCCTAAAGCCATAGCTGTCCCCTTGTAACTTCTCAAACCTGTTGGTTTTGGTTATGCCCCTGGACCTTTCTGAACTCAAAGGCTTTTCTTCTGGGATGGAATAGGCCTGACCTCCCGCAGGGAGGCACTGGACCTTGGCAAGGGGGCTTTGTCTCAGAATATCCTGGGGAGACAGCAGCAGCCAGAAAAGCCAGGAGCCTCCCGTCTTCCTGCACACCCACTAGCACTTTGGTCATAACTCTGTTCTGGATGCTGAGGGGCAGGAATGGGTGACATGGGGCTGCCTGGGTGTGAGTGGGCAGGCTTCCCTCTGAAAGTTTCTTTCCCAGTCTAGGTGTGTCGCAGCGAAGAGCCTGCACAAAATCTTGCTTCCACTTCTTTGTACTCCTGTGGCTTTCGACAAGTTGTTTCACCTTGTGCCTCAGTTCCCTCATCTGCAAAATGGAGATTATACCTCACAAGGCTGTTACTGATGAGGAGAGGAGTCAGCATGTTAGAACAGTACCTAGCACATAGGAAACTATTGAGTGTTTCTTAAATAAATAAGGGCAATGAAGCTGAAGGGATTGAATCATCCAGTGTTACATTTCCTGCTGAGGAGAAGGGCCTAAGGTCAGACAGTGTCTGGCCCTGATGTGGCCAGCATACTAGGAGGAGGTGTCACGGCCCACTGGGTGTCAAAGATGTTCTGACAGTTTGTCATTATTAATCATGGGAATGGCGACCATTTCTTGAGAGCTGTTATAGGCCAGGCACTGTGTCAAATGCTTTTCAAGGGTTGGTTGATTAAAACCCACATGAAACTCTGTTAGCTCCATTTTGCAGATGTGAAAACTGATGCTCAGAGGTTCAGTAGCTGACTCAAGTCACACAGGAAGTGGCTGACTCAATAGCCCTTGCCTCTGGCCGGTGTCCCCTCTGCTTACCTTTTCATTCCTGTTCTGTTCATCTGAGTCCCGGCCTCCTGTATTAGTCAGCTCAGGCTGCCATAACAAAATAGCATAGATGAGTACTTTCTCAGAGCTCTGGGAGCTGGAAGTCCGAGATCAGAGCCGCAGTGTGGTTGGATTCTGGTAAGGGCCCTCTTCCTAACTTTCAGACAGTCACCTTCTTTCTGTGTCCTCACTTGATGGGGACAGAGTCAGAGAAAGAGAGCTCTCTCTCTTTCTCTTCTTCTAGGGCCACAGTCCTATCAGATTAGGGCCCCACCCTTATGGCCTTATTTAACCTTTACCTTCTAAAGACCTTCTCTCCAGATATAGTTATGATGGGGATTAGGACTTCTCCATGTGAGTTGGGGGATGGAGAATACAAGTTAGTCCATCGCACCTCCCCAGTGGCCTTTCTTTGCCCCCTTGTTAGCTGGGGCCTTCCCTCTCTCCGCTCAGTTTCTCCACCCTGGTAGAGAGCTGGGAGCTGGGAGGGACAGCAGACGTGATAAAACCCATGCTGTTGTGATAGATGGAGCTAGAGCCCAGGGAGGAGAAGAGCCTGTCCAAAGTCACACAGCAAGTCCACTGTGGATCCGGGATCAGAACCTGGGCCCCTGCCTCCCAGTTGGTATGCCAGTGGGTCTTGCCACAGTGGGCCTTGAGTCTGGGACTTGAAGGTCGCAGTGCAAATGCTTCCCTGGAGCAGTGGAGAAGGCTAGACATGGCCAGGGCGGTGGCCCCGGGCCTGGAATGTGACTTGATTTCCCAGTTCGTGCACGTCTTGGCTTCCCCACCTCAGAAACAGGAGTAATAGCGATAGTCCCCTGCCAGAAGGATGAGGCGCCCCTTATGATAACAGTTCAGGAGTAAATGGCAGGGACCTGGCTTCATGCCTTGACCTGCCCCCAATCTTGTGTGTGGCCCTGGGCAAGTCACGACTCTGCTCTAGGCCTCAGTGTCCACATGTCCTGCCCAACTCCGTATTGAGCTCTTATCTTGAGGATGTTTTCTGATATTTGAAGAGCCACCTAGAGGCCATTGTGTTGGGCTCCAAGTGTTGGCTCCAGGACACAACCAAGTGAGCCTTTTTGGCTTCTAGTTTCCCCGTCTGTGAAACTGGAGCAGGGAAGAGCTTGGATGAGATCTCTAGGCCTCTTGCCAAGGAGCAAAGAGAACAGCATCAGACACTCACACACTGAACCACTTAAGTCCTTGCTATTCCACGTGCAGATGGAGCGTTAGCAGCACCAGTCTCAGTGGGCGCTTGTTAGAAATGTAGACTCTCAGGCCGAACCCTGACCTGCTGAACCAGAATCTGCATTTTACCATGATTCTCAGCTGATTCATGTGCACATTGAAGCTTGAGGGGAAGTGATTTCAACCAGCCAGAGTCGCCCTTGTTGGACTTTTATAACTCCAGTTACAGGAGTTGTTGGGCACATTTAGACCTCTAGACCCCAGCTTCCCCATCTGTAAGATGGGTGGAGTTGGAGCCAGGCTAGCCCAGTATTTTCAAACTGTGTTTCTTGGAGCCCCAGCATTCCCTGGGGGACCATCAAGAGGAGGTTCATGTGAGGGGTGGGTCTGTAGCTAAAGATTTGGCAACCCCCCAGGATGGTGGGCTCCCAGGTTGGTCTGGGGGCGGGTATGGGGTCCATACTGAACAGACTCTTCTTTCCAGGGAGCGCTTGAAGCGCAGCCAGAAGAGCACCAAGGTGGAGGGGCCAGAGCCCGTGCCGGCCGAGGCCTCGCTGAGTGCCGAGCAGGGAACGATGACGGAGGTGAAGGTGAAGACAGAGGTGCCCGACGACTACATCCAGGAGGTGATCTGGCAGGGCGAGGCCAAGGAGGAAAATAAGGCGGTCAGCAAGGATGGGACTGGCGACGTGCCCGCCGAGATCTGCGTGGTGATCGGTGGCGTTCGCAACCAGCAGACCCTCGGTGAGTGAGTGCCCGGCTGAGAGGGTTGGGGCTGGGACCAGAGTCCTGGGGAGAAGAGGCCTGGGATCTCTGCCCCTCACTGGCTGAGGGCCTTTGGCGGCTGCCCTCAGGGAAAGACCTGGGCTCTTTAGACCTAACCTTTGCTGCCATAGTTCTAGCCTGGAGCTCTCCTCTTTCCACCTGACCTGGCAAAACCCTACTCATCCTTGGAGACTTTAAGTCAAATGCCTAGGACTTTCTGCAGACTGGCGAGCCCCTCACTCTGTGGGGCTCCCAGTGCCCCGGGTGTGTCTAGCTCAACCCGTATTGCCTGGTGTCCCAAATGCCTGTCTGCTTTTCTTCCTCCTCTGCTTAACTGGAGACTCCGGGCAGCTCCCTGTGCAGGTCCTGCTCTGAGCAGATGCTCAGCCAGGATCAGATCAGTGACAGACTGGTACCTTCCCCAGCCTCTTCTGATCTGGGCCAGGCTCAGAGGAGCTCTGTGGAAATGAGCTGCTTAGAAATCCCCTGTCCCCTCACTTTCCAGCATGAGCCAGGGGATACCCCTCTGAGGCTGGCTGCATTCCTGCCAGGTTCACAGGGGCCCAGCAGATATGTTTATTTAGCATAAGGAGAGATGAGCCAGACAGACAGGTGGTGGGGACTGTGTCCAGCTGGAGCGTCCATGCCCCACGTGCAGAGGGGGGGTTGCTCCTCAGCGGCTACCGACTAATTGGTGGGGAGACAGGCTCAGCGTGGCCAGCTCTCTGGACATACTACATGCCAGAAATGAGAATTTTCACGTGAATTCTTTTGGTTTTAAATGTTGGCAGCTCATTCAACTTTTGAAATATGCCAAACCAAACATGTCTGTGGGTCAGAGTCATTCCGTGGGCCAGGAGTTTGCAAGCCTCGGTCTGTAAGATACAGTTCACATGCCTCCACCTGGGATAGAGGCCTCGCCTGGTCTGTTTTGAGTGCCTTCCTACTCGCTTTCCCTGTCCAGCGTGTTCTTGGAAGTGTTGCCGTCTCTATCTCTGCTGGTCCTTCCTGGTCCAGCTCTAACTCATTCCTGACTCTTAGGCTCACGTCCCATGTGTGGCACGCAGGGCCTTGTGGGAAAGCTCCCTGTGTCTCTTTCCCCAAGTGTAGACTCAAATCCTGTTGCCTTTTCTTTCCAGCCTCTGGGAATCAGCCTCGAGCTCCCTATTCTTCCTGTTCCTTTGTTGATTGTGGCCACCGTCAGCCGCACCTGGGCCATTGCAGTATCACCCGAACAACCAGTGCCTTTGTGTCTCCCTGCTCTCCATTTCGGCTGCCAGGGGCCTTGTCCAGAACAGAACATTGAGCATGTCATGCTCTGATTATAAACTTGGGATTGCCTGCTGGGTCTAGGGAATAACATCAAGAATCTCCCTAACCTGAGACTTTAGCCTCATTTCTTATTTCTGACCTTTCTGGACCTTTCATTGTAGCACAGTCCATTCTTCAGCATTTCCTGCCCTTGCTCTTACCTGTCCCTGGGAAGGCCGACAACATTGCCTCCTCTTCCCAGAAGCCTTCCTTGATCTCTTATGGTCAGAAGTGGTCTGTTTTTACCCTGTCTCTCACTTGGGCACCTCTCATTATCTACTTTAGATTAGAGGTGCCCTGTCCATGCTTATCTCTGCCACAAGATTAGGAGTTGTTGGAGACTGGAGCTCCAGGACCTGTTAGATCTATGTCCCTATGCTCTCCACTCCCATCCCACAATACCTAGCAAGACACTGGCTTCTAGGAAGCAGTGTTGACATTGGTGCTGTAACCGTTAGGATGGGGCTGGGTTATGCCACAGTAACAAAGATCCCAGAAGTAAAAAGCGATCTTGGTTGCTCAAAAACCACAGAAGTTTATTGCTTAGTCACACAGCATGTCCATGGTGGGTCAGTTAGCGGCTCCACTTTGCTCTGGATCCAGGCTAAATGCAGCCATTATATGGACAAAGGAAAGAAAGCTCTGGAAGGACTCTCACTGGCAATTAACCTGCTGCAACCCGAAAGTGAGAAGTTGGACAAAACTAGTCACATGGACCGCCCAGCCTCAAGGAGGCCTGGAAATGCCGGGGGGATGAACCAGAAATATTTGGTGAGAAGAATGAGGGACTTAGCCTATTACCATATGAGAGAACACTCTTTTCAGGAGCCTGTGTTTGGCCTCCAACCATCAGAATTCACTTCTCAAGGCCAAGGACTTTTAGCCACTAGATGTGTTAGTTAATCTAGGAGAGGACATGTCCTTGCTCACATGGGGGCCTCGTTTTAAGACTCACTGGACCCAGTGGTTGTTTATGCCCTTCACCAGGAGATGCCCAGAAGGGTAGTTGAATTTGAATCTTGAGGTGGAGCTGGCAGGCTGGATTCAGCGGAGAAAGCCTGGAGCAGCCATGCTAGGGAAATGTGGGGAGCGGTCCCTGGGTCAGCTGCTGGCATAGGGGGAGGCCTCAGGGCGTTTGGCCTCATGCCAGTCACCATGCTGGTTTCCAGCTCAGCTGGCGCTTGGCAGCAGGGCCCTTGGCCTCGCTGTGCCTTAGTGTCGTCTTCTGTTCAATGAGGTGCGCTCCCTGTCCTGGCCGCCTGAGGGGTGTGGGAATCGAGCAATGGAAGTGAGCAGTGTTGTGCGAGGAGAATGAGCTTGGCTTATTCTTGACTCATAAGCCTGGGAGTGAATCCAGGTTCTGTGACTTACCAGCTGTCGTACCTTGAGCAAGTTGCTTGAGCTCTGTGCCTCAGTTTTCGCTATTGCAGATTCAATGGGCTATGTGAGGATTCAGTGAAGATGATGTGTGTAAAGCCCTCAGTGTACTTAGTAAATGGCTACCTATTGTTAGTACAAGTACTGGTATTAATAGGATAAAGTACCTCTTCAAGGGGGAAGAGTGGTAATATTTGTGCTTTTTTCCCTCCAAGCTTAAGAAATAGGGCAGTGTAATATAGAGGAAAAAATGGGATGGAGAAGAAACCTGGCACTGGGTGAGGTGTCAGAGGACATGGGTTCTAATGGCGTCTCCGTTTTCTCATCTGAGAACTAGTCCGGTCCCTGGAGCTCCTTCTGGCACCGCCACCCTAGGATTCAGGAACTTTGAGTATCTTGTGAGATTTCTGAGGTACCTGCTTTTGGCATACCCTTGTGAAAAGGTGTAAAAGCCACAGTGATGAGTTAGAAGTGGAGCCACCACTTTGGAGCCGGTACCAAACGGGCGCAGGACGCTTCCTGCTGGTCACAGCCGCTCATCTCGCCGCCATCCAGCCCGACCTTCCTGGAGGGTGCAGCTTCGGCCAAGGGTCAGGCTCAGAGGAGTATGGCTTGGCCTCAGCACCAGGAGAGAAAAGCAGTTAACAACAGCAGAAGAAAAAAAAAAAGCCACAAAAAAAAATAATCAGTGTTAGAATTGAACCTTTTGAACTCACCTAATCACAGGATGGCAAGTAGGTTTTATCTTGTGCTCCAAGTCCACGTAGTGGCAGCTGGCTCGTTGAGTCTGTGTTGAAGCTTCTAAAGGGTGGCATGATTGATGATTGATGTCTGCCACGGGTGCGCAAGTGGGTGGTGGGGCTGCACACGCTATAGATTCGATACCCTGTCCCCCTCACTTTATAAAAGGGCAAACAAAGGCCTGCAGAAAGAAAGGAAGAATTGCCCTGAGTCACACAGCAGGTCGGTGACATTTTCTTCCACTTTGTGGAGGCCCTGCTGCACCTCACAGCACCCCTCCCACCCACTTCTGGAAGGGAACGACTCCCAGGGATCTCGCCTGGGGTGGAGTGCTGGTTAGAGCCACCCCTTTAAATGAGCTCGTGCCGCGGGGTGCTTCTGTGCTCTGGAGGCCAGGCGTCAGGGAGTTAACATGTTCCCAAGGCGGTCCGCAGGGGAGCGCGGGGCTCTGTGGAGCCAAGGGCCTCCTGAGTGCCACGCTCAGGGCTCAGAGCCCGGCTCTGTTGCTGAAGAGAATAGCGGTCCTGTTTGGTCACCCCGGGCTGTGCCATGAGGGAACCTCCCATTTGCCTTTTCTCTGAGCACCATCCCCCTTCCCCACCCACCCACATCCTCACTGGCCCTTTAACAACCGTCAGACAAACAGTGTTCCCAATGACACAAATATTATCCAAGGCACTTCCTATGGACCAGCCCGGGTCATGGACACGTGGATGGCATTTGGCAGCTTCTCAGGCTGGGAGAGGCAGGAGGGGCATCGGTGTCCAGGAGGCTGGCTGCCAAGCTTGCAGTGGCTTCTGCTGCCTCCCAGCAATTCCTTGTGCTGAGAACGGGTGTCCCTGGCTCTTAGAAAGAACGTCACTGCCATTGGGCATTGATGCAGGACGTTGGGGCAAGACCTTGGGCTTCCTTATTTAGCAAAAAAGAGCAGAGATAATACTGACTGGGACACTTTTTTGGATAAAACCGAAGTGAGTTGACAACAGCAGAGGTCTGCACGGCAGCCCGGAGGAACGGCAGAGCCACCCTTGAGGTTTCGGGAGCTCCTCTGTGAGGAATGCTAATAACCAAGGGACCAGCGTCTGAGCCATTGCTACTCCCTGGTTCCACGTTCATGGCATCGCTAATTGATCACTACATACTGTCCTAACGATGTGCCTCAGAATCCTTCTCAACACAGTCTACCAAGAAGTCACCACCAGTCAGCCAGGATTGAAAAGTCCAACGTAGGAAACTGCTTGCCCTCCCTTGTCCTAAATGGTGAAGACAGGTAAGCTGGGTTTACCACAGTCGGGACCTCCAGCCTGTGGAACATTTTCTGGTTCAGAGAGAGCAGAAAGCCCAGGTCCCATCATGGTGGTCAGAATGTCCTACCAAGCAGTGGGTGCTCTTCTCTGTGCTGGGACACTATTGGTCCTTAATTCAGAAAGGTTGCATGTGAAGGAGCCCAGGGAGAGCCCCAGGTACCCGGAGACCTGGGGGTCCAGGGCTTCCCTAGTGGTGGTTGAGAATGGAGGGAGCGGGTGACCCAGCTGGGCTCCTCTGGACCA